TCAGCCCAGCCGGGACTTATAGTCACGATCTACGCGAGCAAACAGCCTCGTCTCGAGAGCTGTCGTGAAAAATCGCCCCACCGGGGCCTTGATTATTGAATCGGTACATACCTATACCGATATGGGTAGTATACGAGCGAGATTACACTTCCGCGGCACCCTACCTCTTTATAAATATATACACACCGAGTATAGTCGTCATCATCATCATCGTCCTCTTTGGCTTTCGGAGCGACGTGAAAATCGGAGCTCTCAGCGGGTGTACTTTAATTTTCCGCGCTCGCGTCTCGCCGCGTACATATACACTCTCTTTTTCCCCGGCATTTCAGCAAAAAGAGGGAGAGAGAGTATCACGAGCCATAAAGTAAAAGCCTTCCGCGTCCCCCCCATCTCTCATCTTCGTTACGTGACGCGCGCGGCGCCTCTTGTTCCTCCTCCCGGTGGTATACCTACACGTTCCTTCGTATTAAACGAGACTTGCTGGTACCGCTCGTTGTACGCGCAAGGCCATTTTATTTCGCACCCACGCGATACGTTTCACGCTCTCGACTCCTGCCCTCTCGTACCTCCCCCCTGCTCACTCTCGCCCCCCGGCTACCCCATCCTGGTGTATTGGTGCTCGTTTCTATTTTACTCCGCCTTGAGCTCAAATTTTTTTAATTTTCCAATCTTGCGTTTTTTCGACTCGTCGTTTTCTTTGACTACGGGATTGCAAGTTTCAAAATAGCCTTGGCGTTAAAATCATTCAAGTGATAGATTACAGTTAATAAAAAATCCCTTACAGAACAATTAAATAGTATAGCCATCGGCAATTGCAATTGCCCCATCATACATTGTTATACGTGTCACGCACATAATATGGGCACACCTGGCTAATCAGGACAAAATTATCATCTCACACAACTTGGTCAGACATTGCCTTATAACCCACCACAGACAACGTTGCTCGTAAAAGCTTTCCAAAGGTAATATATCAGTTTGACTTCAAAGCACTTGCAATTACCTCGTTATATCTTTCGATATTACTTTACATAATCGGTGTAATCACGACCGAGATATTCGTACGTATACGTACAGGCTAATTCATTCATAAAGTATCCCGCCCCCTCCCTACTCGAGCTTCATTATTCATTTGAAATTTCCATGCAGATGAGCAAGTTCACAAGGCTAGTCCATTCATTGAATGGAAAAAAAATTGGCCCAAGAAAAAACTCTCATCCGTTTTCTCCATCTCTTATTGTCCCATCCAGCGTCTAGAGGGAAAAATAACCCCCGCAAACGTGTCATTTCCGCGCGTGTACTTACTGACGCCGCGAGAGACAGATAGAAAGATGCTTACGGCGTTTACACGTGGTGTGGCATGTGCACAAATGTACCAGCCATAAATCTTGTCAATCGAGCGAATCGTGGAAACGTGCCACACACGCCCCTTGCACGCATACGTAAGGCCCAAGTTTGCTGTATATATACAGCACGTGTAAAGTGCAGGAATCTTTTAATCGCGGCTAATAACAGGCCTCACCGACGCCCCGGTAATGCAACCAAGAGGACGCCACGAGTCTCCTTCCCTCTCTTTTTTTCATCATTTATATCCTCTTGTACGTTTCATATATTTCCTCCTATAGGCTATACCGCATGATTGATAAGTCCATAAAGTTCCTCGTGCTCCGTGGCATTTGTGCAAGTTTCTGGGGTCAGCCCAGATAAGGATACATGCACCCATTTGGTGGAGTAGTAGCGTATCCTCCTCCTCTACTTTCCGTATTTCTTTCGTAGCCTATAGCCAGGGGTGACGTCGCCCTGACAGGATGATGCCAGTGTCCCGGGGCTCTCTCGTCCTCAGACCTGGAATCATCGTCATTATTGTACCACCACGAGAGCACGCAAGGGTTACCCCCTCGGTATACGTATATACGTGTAGGGAGTGTGGTGGTGGTGGTTTAATGCAAGGGTGCGCTGTGGAATCGTCAATGCCACTGCCACCGAATTTCTCGTAAATACCAGGGCTCTGTGATTCGGGATGCTTCCACTTCGCGTGGCTCTCTGAGGACGCCCGACAAATCGGTGCAGGTGATTTAACGCTACTGATCGGGTTTTCGACTCTTTTTGATTTGTTGGGCCGGGATGCCCGAGATTTTTTCGTGATTATCCATCCCACGGGAGTTTTTTTTTTTTTTTTCTTTTCTTTTTTTCTTGTGTCGAGGCAGTGCCCACGTCCCGAATGCATGATTGATTGTGCGTAGGGGGGTTGGAAAAGTGAAAATCCCAAACGAAACGCAAATTGTAACTTTTTACTTAATTACTCGGCTCAGTGTAACTATTTTTTGCTTAAATTTTCATCAATTCAGAATTTTGATTTTTCTTACGAAAACACTTCCATCACCCAAGACCAAATGTCCATAATTAACAATTCTAAAAGGTGCTTTTCGTATTACTTACCTTGGAGGTACCAACGCCAACATCCAAAACAGGGGGGGGGTGTATATCAAACGTATACGTCAAAGGATACTGGAAAAAAAACGACGTGTGGTCAAAGAAACAATAACAACGCGATAAATTAAAGAATCGGCACAAAAGGCCGAGTTTTAATTTGAGTTTGGCAAAAGCAGCGGGCACCCACGCGTATGTATCGCCCGATCTCCGACTTTGTTTTATTTTACATTTCTCCTCCTCCTTGCCCCTGTCGAGTTGGAGATCCAGTGCGTGCGGGCACGTACTTCTTGGCCACAGAAAAAAAAAAAAAAAACTCATGGCCAAGGTTGATTTACAACGTGGCCATTTTAGGGTTTCGGCGTTGGAGAGAGCAGATTAGAAGTGCGTACACGGGAGGGGGGGCTTCGGCAACAAGAGGAACAACCCCCGGTGCCTGCGTGCGCGCAGCCGAGTCGTATGTGGGAAACACAGTAAGAGAAAAGAGGAGCGGATTTTAATTGCAGGCCTGGGCGCCGCGCACGTCGGGGGAGGCTATTCTTCTTTTCCTCCTCGCCATCCCTTCGGCTTCGGCCAAACTGCTCGCGGCTCACATGTTTCGCGGGTATCCCTTATCGACTCTCGGCTCCTTCAACTCTTTCCACTCTTATTTGAAGGATACACAGAAGGAGACAGAAGAGCAAGAAACGACTACGCCACGTATTGAGAGGGACAGGGAGGCTCGGGAGGAAAAAAACGTAAAAGATCGGAGACGAAGGTACATATACATGTATAAGCGCGTATAATAACAGAGCACGCGCGTTGCACGCTCGTTCGCGTCGTTGTTGAAAAAGAAAAAAAAGTATGATGAAAAGGAGAGAAGTGGCTTTGGTTATATTCCACCACACAAATATGATGCACATCTCGCGCCCTTTAAGTGGATTTTGCGCGCGCGCGGAGACTGATGTGCCCGACTGATGTCTGTTGCTACAAATACAAGTAAAAGAGTGATGGTACCAGCTTGTGGGAATCGAATGGTTGTCGGGTTCGTGAGGGTTCTTCAGCCCACGGCCAAATGGATGGATCCTGATTGATTATGCGCCCTACGTATCTCTAAATGTTGCGAAACAGCGTACACCCGTGAAAATACGCGGTTTATTTTTTCCATCCAAACTGTAATTATCATCCGTGATCTACCACATCGCTGCATAAGGTCAGAAATGCATGTACATACTCTGTTGTTGTTGATTAAGAATGATGGGTATGCCCATAACATCATAAGGTCACTTACGAATGTATTATACGGAAAACGTGATAAATAAATCAGTAAAGACAACAAAGACGAGTTTAGTGGCCCCGTGTCGCTTGAACTCATCATGCCCCCCTCTCTCTCTCTCTCTCTCTCTCTCTGTTCCCATGGCTAATCAATCATCGGCCCAACTTGAGGTCCCCCCTTCTCGTTTTTCGGGAAAATCTCTCGTGTCCTCGATGCCGAGGGAGCCTAAAAAAAGAGCTTCCCCGGTGCAACAAGCGCAAGACGAGCACTACCATATGGCCGGATGTAGGCAGATATTCATCTCCGCGGCGCAAGGTATCCACCGCTCGCTCAAACAGTCTTGATTACTCTGCCATGTACACCACGTAAACTCGGGGGGAAAGAAAAAAAAAAAAAAAAAAAAAAAAAAAAAAAAAACGGATACTTCGCTCCTTCTCGAGTTTCCACGGAGCCGGGCAAATTAATCAGACGCGCGAGAGAAACCTCGTCTCGCAGCCTCTCTCTCTATATATATATATATATACGTGCATCTCGAAGTGAGTTATGCTCTGCAGGTTGGCGAGATATGAGATATAGGTACTCGAAGAAACAATGTGATAAGGTCGCGCGCCCACTCTGTACACGTTCATAGTACCACGGGGCACTTTGAGCTCGCTGAGATTAGATCGGTGCTGATAGTGGTGAATATACTTGAATCACTTGAATCACTGACGTTACGAACATCGATATTTATTTTTTTATAATTCAATAAAATAATTACAATGTTATGATGTCGATGACTTTTTCAATCAATCATTTATCTATTTGATCAGCGGTTGTCACATTTTACATAAGAAAAGGTTTGAAGGTTGTGTTGTGCAATTGACTTGGGTTTTCTTAGGTAATGCTTAATCAACGTTAAAATAAAAAATTTTCAATCCAATTTCTTTAATCAATCCATTTTACACAAACACTCAGAAAATCGTCGATTCATTACTTTTTTTATCTCATACCATATTTTGGGTTATGGGGTTTTTAAGCTTGGGTTGTAGGGTTACTGGATTCTAAAAACATTGAATAATAAGCAGCGTAGCTTCCATGCGTCAGGTTTGATATTGTGCGTTTCAAATGTCTTGAATTTCCCACGAAACTGATAAGCGTTAACTCGCGGCTATCAAAAGCACACTTGGGAGGAGTAACCGACGAGAAGAGAAAGGGAAATGAAAAAAGAGGGGATATTTGAAACACTACTGCAGTGGCGGCAACAACAAGTGATTTACACACGCGGGCATAGTACCACAGTGGCTCCCTGAAGAACCAAAACCAAACGCAAGTCATGGATCCTTGGACGACAGCTCTATTGTTGACCGCGTGTGGCGCCCTTTATTACTACTTGAGGAAGAAGCTGCACTTTTTCAAGGTCATGGGCGTGCCCTACTGTTCGGAATGGCCGATGCTGGGCATCACGGGATCGTCGATGTTCGGCCGGAAGCACTTCGTGGAGGTGATACGGGATCTGTACAACTCGCACCCTGAGGCGAAGTACATGGGCGCCTTCGACTTCCTGCGGCCGCTCATTGTGCTGCGTGACCCCGAGCTCATCAAGGCCATTGGCATCAAGAACTTTGACAACTTCGCGGACCACAACTCCTACGTCGACGACACGGTGGATCCGCTCTTTGGCGCCAATCTGTTCAACATCAGCGGGGACAAGTGGAAGGAGACGAGGAACCTCATTTCCCCGTCTTTCTCCTCGAGCAAAATCAAGCAGATGTACCAACAAGTGGTCGAGTGCGCCCGGAACCTCAACTCCTACTTGGCCGAGCAGCCCAAGGACGCCCTGAGCATGATCGCGACCAAAGACCTCTTTACCAAGTACACGAACGACGTCGTGGGTAAACTACCGAAAACAAACAAGAGCCTCTAAACGGCATCTATATATTTTACTTGCAAATGCTCATATGTGTGTTTCATTTGATATTCAAGCTACCTGCGCCTTCGGGATCAAAGTAGACAGTTTGAGGAATCCAAACAATGAGTTCTACGTCCTCGTCAGGGAAGCCACGAACCTAGAGGGTCTCCAGTCCTTGAAGTTCTTCATGGCTCGGGCCTTTCCCCGAGTCATGAAGACCCTGCGCATAAAATTCGTGAACGACCACGTAGCCAAGTTCTTCGAAGCCATAATCGCCGATGCCATCGACACCCGAATCGCCCAAGGTATCAGACAGTCGGACATACTGCAGGTGATAATGGACGCGAGGGACAAGAATACGAGCAAGCACGTGAAACTCGACATCACGAATATCACTGCACAGGCGTTTATTTTCTTCTTCGGGGGCTTCGATACCTCGTCCACCCAAATGTGCATCATAGCTCACGAGTTGACGATAAACCCCGACATCCAGAAGCGATTGCAAGAAGAGATCGACCAAGTTATGGGGCACTCGGGCGGCCAGCCCAGCTACGAGGACGTCAACTCGATGCCGTACCTCGACGCGGTGTTCAACGAGTCGGTGCGACGGCACAGCCAGTGCTCGATACTCGACCGGCGTTGCGTCAAGGCTTTTGAATTTCCGCCGGCGGTGCCCGGGGCGGCGCCTTTCATCGTCCAGCCGGGGATGAACGTCTGGATACCCGCGGCCGGCCTGCACATGGACCCCAAGTATTACGCGAATCCAGAGGCGTTCGATCCGGACAGGTACTTCCAGAAAAAAGTCACCATGAACGACGTGACCAATTTGGGTTTCGGGATCGGGCCGCGGGCCTGCATTGGGGTACGGTTTGCGCTTCTGGAGATAAAGGTCCTGTTCTTCTTTCTGCTGGCCAAGTACAATTTGGTACCAAACTCCAAGACGCGGGTGCCCTTCGATTACAGCAGGGATGGATTCGTCATCAAGCCACCTGGAGGGTTCTGGCTGGCCGTCGAGCCACGAGATTAGGCTAGAGCCGAAGTATGCCTTGTATTGAGTCTAAATCGTAGTGATAAATAATATTTGTTTTGTACGTTTTTTTTACTTATCAATAGATATGAATTTTACACGGTCAGCAGTAAATGAGTCTGTAATGTACAAAAATATATATCGAAGAAAAATATGTTGAATCGAATTGTCTTGATTAAACTATTTTAAAATACTCGTGTGTTTGTTATAATAATATTCTTTACAATGCTCCGTCGTATAAAGTTTTTATGAACTATTTCAAATGTAATTATTAACACTCTTCTTCTGAGCCTCTGTGATAAAAGATTTTTTACGCCATTCATTAAAAATAGTACATAAAAGTCTAATGTATTTGCTAAACGTTAAGCTTTCAAACATTATATGCCAAAGTATTGGCTACCGCTAATACCATTTTATGATTTTAATAATCTTATTTATAGCAAATGTCTTTTTTATCTTCATTCTGCATTCCTTTGTGAAGTTATTTGTATCACCAACAATTAAATTTTAATAATAAACCAAATGAAATTTAACATTGCTTAGCGCTTTGTATGCGCAATTCGCGCTATTCTGTGTAAGTAAGTAAATCAGTTTAAAACTTTTCGTGGGAATAGGAAACCATTATCAGTAAATTTTGAATTACGTTTGCTTCTTTAGCCAAACAATCCAACAAAAATCTTAATTATACAAGTATGAGTTTTGTGGATAAAAATAAAAGCATCATAATGTATGCACTGCTACTGAATCAGTTTTTTTTTCTGTTCCAAGAAGCCAATGAAATTTTATTACTTTAATACTGAATGACAAAGTTTTATCTATTTCTTTAATTAGTACAATAGGTGAGGTGAGAAACCGAATATTACTTCAAAAATGTATTATATCTCATCATAATAATTTGGTTTTCTTTAGTTGCTAAAACATACGTTATGCACTATTAGAGCCACCAGAATACGATTAACTTTTGTTAAAAGTATATAATTTTGATATTTAAAAAAAAATAACGATTTTCACAACAAAAATGTATTTGACCTAAAATTTATCACAAAAATGCACGTGCTCCTCTTGCTTGCCACAGTAACATTAAATTTTTATTAAGTACTAATAGCACCTAACTATGTACCTCCCCTGTCGGTCAATGTAGAATTTTTTGTCTGGTCGAAAGATGACAATCAAGGTCAAACCATAGACAAGTCTTTTTTAAATTGGTATTGGATTGGGCCGTAGTCGTGATTGCTGTTTTTTGATTACTGTTGAATTCGTGTTACCTCTATATTTTACAATACATTTTTTGAACTATTTCTTTAGAAAGATATCTCTGAGACGTATAGAAGTTGAGCAATTAAATCGTAAGTCTTCCAGCTTAGTTATTATAATCTTTTTTTTTAGAACTTGAATCCTTGATTGCAAATAATTACAGTAAAAATAATAATACTTTGCGACCAAGTGTTTTTCCTTCTTTAAAAAGCATCAATTCGTACTGATGAACAACAATAAACTGAATTGCCACGCACATATATATAAGTAGTATGAAATAATATTTTTGGCAGAGAAAGCTTAATGTGTTTATCTAATGAGCTGGAATGTACTTACAATTTTTAATAAATTTTCTGTCACTACTGAGCACCAATTGATTCTCCAGTACCTCTCGTAGTAATACCTTGTATTTAAATATTTCTTTTGGCAACAATTTAATTCATTAAAAGAAACTTTAACGACTCCCTCAAAACTACGTTATTGTTCAGGCTCAGTCATGACGTCACGTTTGAAAATATGCAGCAAAATCAAAAAAGGATTCAATTTTCCTTGTCCATACTCAAAGAATCGAATTATGCACACATGAATAACCTTTTGGTGAAAGTTACCCCTTAACAACAATGTTATTAATTTTGTTGAATGATTAAATTATAATTTGTGTTTTTACGATTCCGTACAATTTTATGTCACTTAATTCAACATAATATCAATTGATACTCATTAGCATTATTCAATACAACAACCTTGCGTCGTCGATTGAATGTTGAATGAAATAGCAAATTTTGCAAACGTGTTTGAGTGAACTCTGATTTCTCAATCGACGATTGACTGCTACCGTACAGGTTCCGTCTAGTTGTCAACGTAGCATCACTCGATGTTGAAAGAAACTTTGTTTCAAACGTACAAGATCATCAAGTTTATAATGGCAACATATCGTTTCGCGTATCATGAGTATACAGTCTCGTATAAAAATTACCTGCAAATTGCCGCCGATAAGAGCAAAAAACTCCTCAGTCGTGCACACGTACAACCTCACGTCCGTGTATATAAGTAAATTGCGTAATCCGAAAGATAAGGGAGGGGGAGATGAAATTTTTTTCACAGCCTCTCGAGATTCTTTCTATTTAGGTAATTTCATACTCCATTACCCGATACTGGCCTGAGATGATGAGCACCGCGATTACCGGCACTGAATGGGTAATCGAGCCCTCGCACTCCCCTCCGCTCTTTCTTCGGGCATCCGTAGGAGTAGAAAGGCTAAGAGGGAGAAATGGAGGGATCAAACTAACGTTGTTTATTCTCTTCCTCTTTTTTTTTTTTTTTTCTCTCTTTCCTCCACTCGTCTCGCAAAAGCGCGGCACTTTTATGGGAATGATACCGCCGGCGGAACGTAAATAGGAAGGCAAATCCTTTCTCCCTCAACTTCACCTTCGGCTGGCGCTGCACTCGTGAATGAACGAGTCCTGCGCTCAATGGACGAGACGGTGACGCGCGGTTCCCACTGGCTCGTGTTACACTCCGGACTATCTCTTTTCTTCCTTTTTCTTTTTCCTCTTTCATGATACTCCCACTCTCTCGGGGAGCCAGTAGGGCACCTTCATTCATCATCTGATTATCCGAACGAGCATCCTGGGGCTCGTGAATGACGGACCAGTATCGAAGCCGTAGGTTCATCACCGGGACCGTTCCGTACCCATACACGTATGTTATTATGGCACTATAATGGCACAAGGTATACCGTCTTTTTTCATCAATCGGACCCAATAAACGCTCTATATTGTGGCGTCTCCGTGGAAATAACAGCAACTACCCGAGCAAAGTAGGGAGAAATGAAGAAACAAGCTCTCTCTCTCGTTGTCTTTTTATCCTTATTCGATTCATGAATGAAGGATTTAAACACGTAAGTATGGAAAGAAAAAAAAAATGAAAACATCCGAAGGTCTTGTATGGTATGGGTTCTCCCTGCATCGGTGAAGAAAGGGCGAAAAAGGAGCAACAAGGAAGAAAGAGAGAAGGAACCACGTGATTCGCGGCAAGTTTTAATTGGCCGCGGAGAAGCACACGCGTCGTGGGGTGGGTCCCGGTGGTGGTGGTGGAGGCGAAAGGAGCAACAGAGGGACGAAGATGGCAAACGCACCTTGGCGGACACGCATCCGCGAGGAGAAGGGAGAGAATAGCCGTATACGCGCATATATATATATATTATATATACCTACGTGTGGGGTTGCAACCAAAGAGAGAACACGCGGGATTAGGCAATAGGATCACATCGCCGTCGTCGTCCTTTTCTCTCTCTCTCTCTCTCTCTCTCTCTCTCTCTCTCTCTCTCTCTCTCTCTGTTTCTTCGAGACAAAGACCTCTTCGTTCACGAGTGCGAGAAGGAGGGAAACGGGCCGAGGGCGGGCTCCTTCGCGTCGAGGTGTACAGCCCCACCAAGATCCCTACGCGACGAGACGGAGACAGCTTGCGTATATACGCGCACACTCGCGCGCACCTTTTACCATCCGATCAAGCGGAGCGCGCATGTAAGTGTTGCGTTGCGAGATGCGACCTCGCAAAAGAAGAAATAAAACGAGAGAGAGAGAGAGAGAGGCGCAGCCCCACGCACGCACACGTGTATATATAAATATATAGCGATGCACGCACTCGCACGCACGTATATAGGCGTACCTTTGCAGGCTCGGGACTCGGAAGATCCGCCTCCACCTAACGACGAGTCGCGGCTCGACGAAAAACGCCACCACCTCAGTTATAATTGTCGGCCCTCGAGAGCCGCACACTGCACCACCGCGGTGCTTTCTCTTTCTCTCCTAATTGTTACTCTTCTTCGATGCTGCTGCTGCTGCTGCTGTGACGAAAGCATCTATATTATTACGTACCATTATACCCACCTGTGATACTCCTTGCTCTCTGCGGGGTATCCGCGACCGGGCACGCGTCTCGTGTGAACATACGTATATATATATGTATGTATATATATTTGGGTACATTTACTCATGGGCGTATGTGTTTGTGGGTGTTGCTGTTTTCAAGGAAGTCGGTAGACCATTTGCAAACACTATTATTTTACGGAAATTATAGATCACTGCTGTGTTTATGTCGAAGATAAACTGTGGTCAACGATGCTGAGACTTCGTCTCGACAGGGCTGTGTTACTATTGTTACTGGTGGTGAAAATCGAGTAGGTGCGATCTGATACCGATTGTCGTTATATCATCGCTGATATCCATATTTGTGCAAGTTGTTTCGTGGAAGGGGAGGATAGTGAGGGGATAAGGCAAAATGAATTGCGCGTATCAGTATCCGCAGGCGATGCATCCGCAGGGAGCCATGAATGTGCATCAAGCCCTGCCCCAACAGATGCACCATCAGTCGTCGGATACGGAGTTTTTGGAGGTAATTTTTTTTTCTCTTTTTTTTCTGTTTCGTCGTCTCACAGCTCGCACACTCTACGTATACATGGAATATTTTCCTTGATTTTTCGTACGTATTGGCGATATTGTTTACTATTGCATCTTTAGCTGAAATAAATGTTGGGTTCTATGTACAAGCTTTGGTTGAAAAAGAAAATCTTAGGTGGATTTGGAGCGTCGCATTGACAGATACTTACAGCAGTTTTTAAGTGTGCAACAAGATAACCTTGATAATATATCCAGTGATTTTATTCAATTCTGTAGACCTTTAACCATTGTGATTTAATAGTGAATACCACAAATCTAATTTTTTTTTTTTTTATTTCTATCAAA